AATAAACCAAATAGAAAATGTTGAAAATCACATGATATCACTTATATGTTGGATATAATGCTAAAAGCAACAAATGAACAGGGCAAACAAACAGAGATTCATGGACATGGGCTTATAGACTAGTGGTTACCAGACGGTAGAAAGTGGGGAGAGGTGGAAGGTAGACAGGGTAAAGGAGGTCAAATATGTGGTGACAGAAAGAAATCTGACTATGGGAAGTGAACACAGTGTAAATATACATATTTGCATTTTTATGGGATGAGCATATGTGGATTTTATTTAGAAGAGGCAGTGGGCAGACATTTTCATCTGGAAGACTTGCTTAGGTTCAGTGAAATTAATTAGAATAGAGTATAGTTGTTTCCTAGCTCTGAACATTTTTTAGTTTGATGTAATAATGACCCATGTTTCTAATAATGATCTTAAATGCGGTAGAAACTGAAATGCTTTCTTAAACATAAAAACACTGTATTGTGTTCAGTGTAGAATCATCTAACATTTGAGAATTTGAGAATACTGAAGTAGAGTGGTTTCTGATTTCACCAAGGCCGCTTAGCTTATACATGGCCGAGCTAGGAGCACAACTAATAAAGTCTATTGACTCAGTAGTGTTCTTTCCACTAGAGAAAACTTTCTATAAGTGTGTTTGTGTGTTTTATATTCCATGTTTTGAAGTCTAATATTACATTCACAGTGTGGTAAAAACTCAGTTAACTGTAACATTTAAATAAGTATACAATCTTATATTGCTTTTGGTATACATATACTGCAAAGGTGCATACAGTTAGGCCATACTTTAATCTCAAAATGTCAGCTACAAAGCATATTTATTTGCATTCACAAAAAGGTTCTTGACTTTTAAAAAAGACTCCTCCAAAAGGAGAACCTCAGTTTCATAGCTACTTTAAAAGAGTCCAATGAAATGCTGTTTTGATGTGTAAGAAACATCCACAGACATACTTTCCGAGCTGAGTCTTCATTTCTGATAGTGATTCCTAATACCTAAAGCTAAAATTTCTCTACCTAGATACCCTTATTGAGAGCGTGAATGTCGGACTACCTATTTAACATGGAAGTTATTTTAGCTGCCATGAAACCTAGCTTCTTGGGACTATGCTCTTGTTCACTTTGGCCATAGTCACCATTGACTATGGTGAATTTATTGAGAATATTCTTGCCCTCCAGCCCACAATTAATATGGTATAATGGAAAGTTACCAAGACTTCTGTGCATTGTGATAAACTAGTCATGTGAGCTTAAACTATAATTTTCTCTATACTGTCAGAAGGTTGAATAATATATCCCAGCTCTTGGTATTTTGTGAAATGTAACACATCTTAGTTTTTTTTTTTTTTTCCATCCTAGCTATTGTGCTTCTCTAGGAACTAGAATTACAGCTCACTTGAGTGTAGTCTTCACAGCTGAGTAGAGTCCTACATCAAGGAGCAGAAACACTCCCTGGGTGACTTCCTTTCTGCCTGATCCAAGTGTTAGGAAATCTGGCATAAAACTTATAAACAGTGTTTTAATGAAAGTAGAGTTATGGTCTGGGAACATTTGTTTGGTCTCAGATTTAGTTTGTCTATGCCAGTTTCTTTTTCAATAATGTGACTAGTTTGACATTTAAATATTTATGTATCACTGACTGTTCACAAGGGTATAGTAAAATACTATTTAAAGTAATCTTGAGGTTCACATTTTTTTTGCCATGACCTACAATTTACCAAGTTTTATCTACCTCTTGACTATCTCTGCATACACTTTATGTCACACTCCAGTGAGGGTCTTACAACTCTTAGTGATGAATGTTTTTATTCTATCTAGTTGGAAGGGAAGGCCGAAGCATAGATGTTACATGCTTTTATTTACATGCTATTATATAATAGAGATAGTGGTGATAGTGTATCTGTATGTGTTAGAAAATAGGGAAATAGTGATACTGGTAGCCTGGTAAACTCTGCTGGACTGAAGAAATTGGGTAGTAAATTATTTCTGGCATGATTTCTGGCTCTAAGCTTATCATAAGATGTTGCAACTGGATGTAAGTATTCTTTGGATTTATTTTTTACAGGGCGAAGGAGTTGTTAAAGAAATCCCTATTACTCATCACGTTAAGGAAGGATATGAGAAAGCAGACCCTGCACAGTTTGAGTTGCTCAAGGTTCTTGGTCAGGGATCCTTTGGAAAGGTAATCAGTGCTTTTTTCCCCACATTTGTTTCTCTTCTAAACATTTAGCAAAAAAGTATACTCATAGAAATCTGAAGTGTGCTATCTCTAGATTTGTTAAAGGGTTCACACAAAGGTAACTTTCTAATTTTACTCCTTTTATTTCTACTGTACTTTTAGTCCCATTTCTTTATACTTCTCTGTAATAATTAAGTTTTTCAATCTCCTGGACTAAATTATTTCTCTAGTACAAAATAGAACATGCTATTTATTAGCTGCCTAAATCAAGGTACTTTGATTTCTGTAAAAAAATGGATAATCTTGTTTCCCTGCTCATATGCTACCATGATCATATCTTGCTCTCTCCTGGTGATTTCATTTATATTCCTTAGCTCTATCACAGAAGTCAGAGTGTATGTATCAATTCATGTATAAATGCATGAACTCATCCATCATCTGTTAAAGCAGCATGTGTGCAAACTAAAATAAGGGTAGGTACTGAGTGATATATGGATTGTGTGAAGCTCCTTCCTTTCATGGAGCTTAAATTTCAAGGGAGAAAGCAAAATGGAAAAAAAGATAATTAACTGGCACTCATTAAAATTGCTTATTATAAAGTGCTTAATGGCATATGATTTCTGGAAAAGAAGTATGTAGGTCTGGTTCCTGACTTTTGTACACCTAAGACATGAACATTATTGCATATGCACAGTAAATAATGACCTTTAAGAAAACAGCAACAACAAGAGTTTAAGGGAAGAAAGAAAAGGAGAAACTGCTAATTTCAGGGTGGCTGAGATTTAATTTCAAAGGGGGAAAGTAAAGCAATTGATCAGTGATTATTTATTGTGCTCTGAAATATTTTAAAAGAAAGGCATGTATTGGAATACCCAATGTGCATACAACAGTTATAAGAGCAGTATTGATAGTATTGGTGAAAATAAAATAGACGTTAATTCTTGTAAAGTAGCCCAATATCTTTGTGGTATAGATATAACATATAAAATATAGAGAAACATCTCCAGGACACAAAAAGGACAATCAAAAGTGGATTGTGGTTTAGCGGTGAATTGGTAAAGGACATGTATGAAGACATGGAGATAGGACTTGAATAATTGTGCTGGGGAGAGTAAAACTAGAAGGAGCTTTTAATAGATTATGTGTATAGAGGGGGGATGTTTATAGAACTGACCTGTAGAGTAGGTATGTGCATTTTGCACACCTTTATAGGTTTTTAAATATATAATCTTTTAGCTATTTTACATTATATTTCTATGATGTTAATTTTCAAAGAACACCGATATAGTTCTTTCATATCTCAAATGTATAAGTGCTTGAATATCAACTTAAATAAAATCTAACCACGTAAACATTTCAAGCCATTAAAAGTAATTCTTTTGCCATGTGATGTACATATTTATTCATATGTATATTTATTTATATCCAGCTTTGTTCCAGAAAACATTTAAGGCTTTCATAGATGAATACTAAATAAAATTAAATTAAAATAAGTAGAGAAGATGGTGGAAGCAAAAAGATTAGAGCAGGGGAGGTTAGATGAATCCAGGAATACACACCCTTTTTTTAAGAAATGCATGACATAAAGGGCCTATAAGTCTTCTAGAAGTGGGATAAAAATTAAGGTTTAAATTTTCTGGCAGCCATTATAAAGAAGTCAATACATTTAACTGTATGATTAATGACAGTATCTTTAAGGTAGAAATGGATCAGACAGACCAGAGAAATTTTCTCATGGAGCTTCATAAAGAATATAGTATAACATAATGAAATATCTTCAGTAACATCTTCACATTATATATAGGGACATGCTGACAAGTTGTCAATATAGTCCTTAAATTCAGGGAACACTCAGCTTTGTCTGTGTAAGAACTTTGTTTAAATAGGGATATCATAGAAGCCTTTTAAAAATTCCTAATACTAAAATACAAATATCTAATACTAAAATACTAATACTAAAATAGAGTAGTGCTCTTTATGTAGTTCATCCACTAAATAAATATTAAGGAGATAGATTTTTTTTTCCTCTAGGATGTGAAAATACTTGCTTATCAGTATTACATCATTTGTGTAGGCATTGTGTGGGTATGACTTGTTATATGCTGAACTTATTCAGGAATTTGGCCAAGGCTGTGAATCAGATAAGTGTTAAGAGCAATTCCAAGAAACTTTAGGCTGCAGCCTTATTTAAGTTTTTCTGCAAAAGTTCCATTGTTAAATGCAATAAATGGAATTTTAACCTATATAAAGCCAATAGGGGGAAAACTCTACTAAAGTCAGTTGTAAAATTGTACTTTAAAGAAGCATGCATTATCATAATGAAAGATGAATATAAAATTCTGTACTAAACAAACACCAAATATGATGCTATTAATTATCATTAATGTATTAATTGAAATGTATACCAACTTATATTATTTTAAAACATAGTCAAATAAAACACATGAAAACATGTTTGAAATTGTCATATTAGCCTTCCTTGTATTTCTCATGCCAAGTCATATTTACATAGAGCATACATTTAACATTCTTGGATTCTAATTTTTTTTTTTTTGGCTTTCATAATAGTAAAACCTTTAACTATTGGTCTTAAATATAATGTTTTTGAAAATATAAAACTCTGTACTCTTAAGTAATTGCTTAACTGTCAAGAGCTAGCTTTAAAAAATACATATTTACATCTTAATATTTCTTACAGTTGGTCCTTTGTCTTCAGTCAACATTAAAACTGTGTGATCTTTCATTTATGTTCAACAAACACTTATTAAGAATTTCTTAATAGAAAATATGTAAGTCTATATCACCAAGAGGAAAGTATCTTGGAGTAACTCACACATTTCTCTTCTGGACAGATTCCAAGAATTGGGTTAGTGACTGAAAATAAACTTTTCTGGTCAGGATAGATATCTTTTTTAGATACAGTGGTTTGAAGCCATGAAAATCCTTCTGTAATTAATCATGAGGTAGAGAGCTAAGTGAGATATTTTCTTATGCTAGGAAAGTTTACCCATAAGACCTGAAAAAAACAAATCAGGTGATGAATGAATAAACAGTTACTTCTCCAGACTGTGAAAGATGGCTTCTATTAAATGCCATCTTGGGATACTAGTGAGTGCTAGATGAGCTAGGGCAAAAGTGGCTGTTTTTTTCAAGTGTCTTCCTGAAAGCCTGGACTTTTTTTCTTCCTTTACTGTCCCCTTATGCCCTCTATATTCCAATCTTTTAAACCTTAGTAAGGGCTGTGTTCTAGAACAGTTGTTCTTAAAGTGGTTCTCAGAGATACCCCCTAGGCATCTGCAAGAGGCTTTCAGGGTGTCTTCAAGGTCAAAAATATTTCATAATAATATTAAGATAATATTTGTAAAACTTCTTGCAGCTTTGCACAATCAAGGCAGTGACTCCAAATTGTATCAGTAGTCACTGTATTCTTCACTATTACACACTTTCAGTTTAAAAAAAATACAAGTTTTACTTTATGCCCTTGGTGAGGTGTTAACAAAGATTAAATTTATCAAATCTCAACCCTGAGTACACTCCTTTTTAATATTGTATGATGAAATGAGGACACATAAAGCACTTGTGTTATTTTATGAATTGTGAGCTGAACCTAGCCACTTTTTTTCATGGAACACCATTTTTACTTGAAAGAATGATCGACAAACTGTAGTTACTTAAAATTGGGTATTTGGTAGATAATTTCTTAAAAATGAATGGAATGAGCCTGTTATTTCATGGAAAACAATTGACTACTTTTATTAATGATAAAATTTGAGCTTTAAAGCAAAAAAATAGAATTGTGGAAAAATTTTATTTGCCATTATGAAATTGATATC